TCTTTCTCTTTCTCTGTCTGTCTCTCTCCCTCTCTTTCCATCTCTGTCTCTCTTTGTCTCTCTCCCTCTCCTTCTCTCTCTCTCTCTCTCTCCCTCTCTCCATCTCTCTGTCTGTCTGTCTCTCTTTGTCTCTCTCCTTCTCTCTTTCTCTCCCTTTCATTCTCTTTCTCTCTCTCTCTATTTCTCCCTCCCTCTCTTTCTTTCTCTTTCCCTCTGTCTTTCTGTCTCTCTCTCCCTTTCTGCTTCTCTCTCTCTCTCTCTCTTTCTGTCTGTCTGTCTGTCTCTCTCTCTCTCTCTCTATCTTGTGGAGGCGGGGATGGTGAAAAACGGGCTGTTTTTGCCTGGTTTTATTGCCTTTTCACACACACACCCCACCTCCACAAGTATTCTGCAGGCTAAAACCAGGCAAAAACAGTTCATTTTTTGGCCAAAAATGGGCCGTTTTTGCCTATTTTTTTGCCTCCTTTCACTCCCCCCCCCCCACCTCCACAAGCATTCTGCAGGCTAAAACCCGGCAAAAATGGCTTGGTTTTTGGCCAAAAACAGGACATTATTGGCTGTTTTTTGCCTCTTCTAACCCACCTCCACAAGCATTCTGCAGGCTAAAACCAGGCAAAAATGACTCATTTTTTGGCCAAAAACGGTCCGTTTTTGCCTGGTTTTTTGCCACTTCTAACCCCACCCCCCAACACACACACCTCCGCAAACATTCTGCAGGCTAAAATTGTTGAGCTTACCTTTTGGTTCCAGCCAACAGTTCTCCCGAAGGCAAGTCCTGCGCTCTGTTGAAGGGTGGGTGGGCCATCTGGAACGAGCTCCCCCCAGAGATACAGAGGATCCTGGACCTGCACGCTTTTCGCCATGCCATCAAAACATTTCTTTTTCAGCAGGCCGGCCTGGCCTAACCTCTCTTTAAACTTTTAAACTTTTAAAAAATTTTCAATTTTAAATTTGTCTTAAGAATTTGGGGTGTTTTAAATTTCATTTTCCGGGCCAAATTATTTAATTGTATTTTAATGCTTTTTAACATTTGTACTATATGTATTTTATCTGGCTGTTCACTGCCCTGAGTCCTTCGGGAATAGGGCGGTATACAAATTCAATAAATAATAATAATAATAATGTGGGTGGGGCAACCTCATGGTGCTCCGTGGGCCGGATTAATAGTTTGAGGAGCCATGCTTTAAATAAATCACGGTTTATATACAGCAAAATATTTACATACATATATATTGTTAAATATCTTACTATATAGCTACTGACAAAAGGAGAGCAATGAGACACAGGATGAGAAAGAATATGGAAGGGAGACGCTCTCTAATAGGTTTCCTTATATAGGCTGCTTCTGCCCAGCTTCTTAAAATGACAGTAACCCTGCTGCCTCATTCCCATTGCATCAGCTTACAGTTGCCTCTGCTTTCAACCTTCCATCAGCTTACAGCTATTAAATCTACATACCCTGACAATATTCATCAGGGATATGATTTAGTGCATACCTGATTGGCCTAGTACTTTTCCCTACCTTCTTCAATTTAAGTCTAAATTTTGCAACGAGAAGCTCATGATCTGAGCCACAGTCAGCTCCTGGTCTTGTTTTTACTAACTGTATAGAGCTTCTCCATCTTTGGCTGCAGAGCACATAGTCAATCTGATTTTTGTGTTGACCGTCTGGTGAACAATACCGCTTGACATACAGTGGGGCAAAAAAGTATTTAGTCAGCCACCAATTGTGCATGTTCTCCCACTTAAAAAGATGAGAGAGGCCTGTAATTGACATCATAGGTAGACCTCAACTATGAGAAACAAAATGAGAAAACAAATTCAGACAATCACATTGTCTGATTTGAAAAGAATTTATTTGCAAATTATGGTGGAAAATAAGTATTGGTTCACCTACAAACAAGCAAGATTTCTGGCTCTCACAGACCTGTAACTTCTTCTTTAAGAGGCTCCTCTGTCCTCCACTTATTACCTGTATTAATGGCACCTGTTTGAACTTGTTATCAGTATAAAAGACACCTGTCCACAACCTCAAACAGTCACACTCCAAATTCCACTACGGTGAAGACCAAAAAGCTGTCGAAGGACACCAGAAACAAAATTGTAGACCTGCACCAGGCTGGGAAGACTGAATCTGCAATAGGCAAGCAGCTGGTGTGAAGAAATCAACTGTGGGAGCAATAATTAGAAAATGGAAGACATACAAGACCACTGATAATCGCCCTCGATCTGGGGCTCCGTGCAAGATCTCACTCCATGGGGTCAAAAGGATGACAAGAACAGTGAGCAAAAATCTCAGAACCACATGGGGAGACCTAGTGAATGACCTGCAGAGAGCTGTGACCAACGTAACAAAGGCTACCATCAGTAACACCCTACGCCACCAGGGACTCAGATCCTGCAGTGCCAGACGTGTCCCCCTGCTTAAGCCAGTACATGTCTGGGCCCATCTGAAGTTTGCTAGAGAGCATTTGGATGATCCAGAAGCGGATTGGGAGAATGTCATATGGTCAGATGAAACCAAAGTAGAACTGTTTGGTAGAAACAGAACTCGTCGTGTTTGGAGGAAAGAGAATCCTGAGTTGCATCCAAAGAACACCATACCTACTGTGAAGCATGGGGGTGGCAACATGGGGGTTTCTCTGCAAAGGGACCAGGACGACTGATCATGCACAGGAAAGAATGAATGGGGCCATGTATCGTGAGATTTTGAGTGCAAACCTCCTTCCATCAGCAAGAGCATTGAAGATGAAACGTGGCTGGGTCTTTCAGCATGACAATGATCCCAAACACACTGCCCGGGCAACGAAGGAGTGGCTTCGTAAGAAGCATTTCAAGGTCCTGGAGTGGCCTAGCCAATCTCCAGATCTCAACCCCATAGAAAACCTTTGGAGGGAGTTGAAAGTCCGTGTTGCCCAGCGACCGCCCCAAAACATCACTGCTCTAGAGGAGATCTGCATGGAGGAATGGGCCAACATACCAGCAACAGTGTGTGCCAAACTTGTGAAGATTTACAGACAACGTCTGACCTCTGTCATTGCCAACAAAGGATATATAACAAAGTATTGAGAGCAACTTTTGATATTGACCAAATACTTATTTTCCACCATAATTTGCAAATGAATTCTTTCCAAATCAGACAATGTGATTGTCTGGATTATTTTCTCATTTTGTCTCTCATAGTTGAGGTCTACCTATGATGTCAATTACAGGCCTCTCTCATCTTTCTAAGTGGGAGAACTTCCACAATTGGTGGCTGACTAAATACTTTTTTGCCCTACTGTATCATGTCACCATTTATTCCAGAAAAAAAAAAAAGCCAAAATAGAGAAGCCTTGTGTGAAAAAGTAACATCTTATGATTGAACATCTTGTAGAGCCACCTTTAGCACCAATAACTGGGAGTAATTGTTTTCTGTATGACTTTTATCAGTCTGTAACATTGCTGTGGAGGAATTTTGGCACACTCTTCTTTACAACATTGCTTCAGTTCATTGAGGTTGGTAGGCATTTGTTGGTGCCCAGGTCTCTTGAGGTCCTTTCACAGCATTTCAATCAGGTTGAGGTCTGCACTTAGACTGCAGTTGCAACACCTTGATTCTTTTAGTTTTCAGCCATTCTGTTGTTTATATGCTGGTAAGCTTGCAATCATTGTCTTGTTACATAATCCGATGTTGGCCAAGGATGTTGTGTTTGGTTTTCATCAAACTTTGGTTTCGTCTCTCCAAAGGACAGTGTTCCAGAAGTCTTGTTATTTGTTCAGATGTAACTTTGCAAACCTCAGATGAGCTGCTATGTCATTTTAGAAAGAAGAGACTTTGTCCTGGCAACCTTTCCAAATGAACCATACTTGTTCAGTCTTTTTCTAATTGTACTGTCATTAACTTTAACATTTAACAAGCTAAATGAGGCCTGAGATGTAATGCTTGGATTTATTGTAATTTCTCTGAGCGTTGCACGTTCTGAACTTGGGGTGAATTTGCTGGACTCCTGGGAAGATTCACAATTATCAGCGGGGACCTTAGAGAAACAATTGTTGCTGCTCATCTACAGTACATTCAGGAAGTATTCAGACCCCCTTCATTTTGTCAATTTTGGTATGCAGCAGCCTGATTCTACAGTTGTTGAAATACATTTTTTTTCTCATTGATCTACACTCAGCACTTCTGTTTTCATTTTGTCATGATGGGGTACTGAGAGTACATTAATGAGAAAAAAATGAATTTCAACAACTGTAGAATCAGGCTGCAGCATTAACAAAATTAACAAAAGTGAAGGGCCCCTGAATACTTTCTGAATGCACGGTAGATGAGCAGCAACAATTGCTTCTCTAAGGTCCCTGCTGACATCTTTACTCTTTGGCATTTAACACAACCTCAATGCCAGAGACCAGCAAACTCTTAGAATTTCAGCTTTTATAGAGCACTTGATTAGCAGCACTGGGCTGCTACTTAGCCTCTTCATACCTATGGAACAAAGAAGGTGTACTTTATTTTTCTCTTTTGATGATAACCCTTTGCAGGGCTAAGAATTTGTGACTGACAAGTCAACAGGTGACTTTCATGACTGAATGGATAATGGAACTTGGATCCCGGTAGTCAAATGAGTCATAATTAATGTAAGAGATTATTCTAACACTGTGACATGTTTGCTTTTTCATTGTAACATATGCTTCTTGTGTTCACATCTTCTGCAACCCTTTTACAAACAATAAAAGCTATATTTTCAATTGAATCTTACAGACAAAGATGATGCCAAGCTCCATAGATATGCCTATTGTGAGAAAAGGAGACTTCAAATGACAAGCAATTATGCAGGGGAGAATCCCCTCTGGATAACAGCCATACTAATTATCTGAATGTGGTCAAAGCTCAGGTCAGAACTGCTCCTTTTTGGTTCATGGAAGGATCGACATAGGAGAGATGCCCTACAAGTGTTCTCAATGTGGTAAATGCTTTAGCAAAAATGGCAACTTAGTGATGCATCAGCGGACTCACACCAGGGAGAAGCCGTATGACTGTCCTGATTGTGGGAAACGTTTCACTGGAAATTCCCACCTCGTGAAACACCTGAGGAGTCACACAGGAGAGAAACCCTTCGAATGTCCTGTTTGTGGGAAAAGTTTTAGTCAGAATTTGTACCTGGTGAATCATCAGAGGACTCACACAGGAGAGAAACCCTTTGAATGTCCTCTTTGTGGGAAAAGTTTCAGGCAGAATTCTGACCTAGTAATACATCAGAGAACTCACACAGGGGAGAAACCCTTTGAATGTCCTGATTGTGGGAAAAGTTTCAGTCAGAATTCCCACCTGATGAAACACCAGAGGACTCACACAGGAGAGAAACCCTTTGAATGTCCTGATTGTGGGAAATGTTTCATTGGAAATTCCCACCTTGTGAGACACCAGAGGACTCACACAGGAGAGAAACCCTTTGAATGTGCTCATTGTGGAAAAAGTTTCAGTCAGAATTCCCACCTCGTAAAACACCAGAGGACTCACACAGGAGAGAAACCCTTTGAATGTCCTGATTGTGGGAAAAGTTTCAGTCAGAATGACAGTCTGGTGAAACATCAGAGGACTCACACAGGAGAGAAACCCTTTGAATGTCCTCTTTGTGGGAAAAGTTTCAGTCAGAATGACAGCCTGGTGAATCATCAGAGAACTCACACAGGAGAGAAACCCTTTGAATGTTCTGATTGTGGGAAAAGTTTCAGTCAGAATTCCAACCTGGTAAGACATCAGAAAACTCACACAGGATAGAAACCCTTGGAATGTCCTAATTGTAGGAATGTTTTAGTCAGAATTCCCACCCGATGAAACACCAGAGGACTCACACAGGAGAGAAACCCTTTGAATGTCCTGATTGTGGGAAAAGTTTCAGTCAGAATGACAGTCTGGTGAAACATCAGAGGACTCACACAGGAGAGAAATCCTTCAAATGTCCTGTCTGCGGACGATCTTCAGGTATAAATTGTCCCTTATTTCCTACAAGGAAATCCACATGAGGGAAACATTGATGAGTTTAGAGAAGGCTTGGATTTAATTTCTCATGTCTCATTAGGAATGTAGGTGAGAAATTGACTATTTTAATTCTGGCCTCATTCTTTTTACTCAAACATGTCTCAGGATTAGACTTGTAGGTGAATAGAAAAGGAAGATGGAAAAGGGCTAACCACCTCTTTCTGGTTAGTAGCAGCAGTTTTTGGATATTTCATTTTTGCAGAAGTAATGGAATTCCTCAAAAAGGCTTTTGAGTGGTGTTTTTTGTATATTGCTTATGGAATTTCCACAAGTGGACTTTCCATCTTCTATCTTGGTGTCCTCCAGATTTTGAGCCCCAGAATTCCGCAGCCACCATATAAATAGTCCTCTAGATACACTGTAATGGGGCTTGCCAATTATGGTTGCATGTTGTAATGGTTGTTAAGTGAGATTGCCTTGCTTAACTACCCCCGCCACCTTCTCTCCCTGATGAAGCTGTTAAAAAAATATTCAGGTCATTAAGCAGAACAGTGACTACCTCAGGGTTGTAGGAATCTATTGGAGGCCTAGCCTCCACTACCCTAACTTTTGGGTTCCCACAGACCTTTCCCTCGCTACAGTGTCCCCACAGGCATTTCTTACTCCCACTGGATCCCTGCGATCTTTAGGGCTTACTCCCACCTCACCAGGCATCACAACCTCCTCCTTCTCCATACTTTTTGAAGACCACTGAACCTCAAGTTGGTGAAGGAGGGTAAGACATTTGTGTGCTGCATGACTGTGTCATGAAAGCAGCCGTTATTTTGACTGTGCCTGGGATTCATGCCTAGGCCATGGGGTCGAGTGGTGGAAGCAGCCACCATTTTGCCATGTCTGCCTCTATGTCAAAATGGTGGCTGCTTCTGGGTCACTGTCATGTGGGACTGGGACAAAGTGTTCTGTTTTGCTCTCTTAACACTTTGTAAACTGTGTTAAGGAATTGTGGGTGCACTGGAAATGATGGCTGCCTCTGGGAGATCTCCAAAAGGGCAGGGCATGTATCCTTGTGCCACATGAGAAATAGACAAGTACCACTTCTGCAACTGCCAAAAAAGCCAATGCAGGCTGCATCAACAGAGGCATAGAATCAAGATAAGAAGTTATGGAGTTGCTTTACACTGTCCTGGTGACAGCACACCTAGAATAGTGCATCCAATTCTGGTCACCACGACAGAACCAGCCTCATGATTCTATGATTCTATGAATTTAGAGGCAGTTTAGAAAATAGGTACATAGTAGCCCTATAAAAGTGCTATGTGGTAAAGGAACATTTTTTTAAAAAAGGTTATTTTCTTCAGAAAATTAATATACAGTACAAACTCCAAAAAAAGAAAGATTTTTTTCAAAAGCAAAACAAGGATAGACTAAACTTTGAAAAAGAAAAAGTGTACATTAAAAAAGACAAAAACAGATTTACTTATATTACCCCCCACACTTGAATATTCATAAATATATTGGAGCAATATTAGTTTCCTCCCCTTGTGAAGCAAAATTTATAAATTCATCTATATACCATACGTAAAGGCAATGTAATTAACAGATGAACCAACAACAAAGTTAAACATCAAAGCGCTTTGTTAACAATCTACTATTCCATTTAATTTGTATAAAGTTTAGAATGGCTTCTTATTTACCATAAATCACCAGAATCATTGTCTCTGATTTGTCCAGGATGATATATCTTTGTTTTATTCTTATTAATAAAACTTTTTCTTAAAATTTAAGTTGAGAACAATAAGACAACAGTTGTGTCTTATTTCCCCAAATCATAAAACCTCTTGGTCGATCCATTTAACATGTTTACAGCAAACAAGATAATCAGGAACAGAGGGACATTGTGAGGTAAATCCAAATAGCATAAAGAGCACACAGAAGAAAAAAAGAGGGAAAATTGGGAAACTCCCCCTTTTCATGTACAGCAACCAATTATAGCCTAGATTGCCTCATGTAGGAGGTTTTAATGGTTTTGTCATGAGGTCAGCTAAATTATTTTCTGGTGGACAATAAATTATGTCTATTACATTTTCTTTTACTGCTTCTCTGACATTACATTATGTCAACAGTTTTTCTTCTGGTTTGTACTCCCACCTGTTGCCATTTGTATACATTTTGTGTTATCTTCAAATACTGGTATAGCTCCTTTCACTTCAATATCCAAATCCTTTACTAACTATATTACCTATATATTGTCTTTGAAGACAATTTTGATAATGCTATGAATTGTGCTGCAGCTGTGGAAATGGCAACTGAAGTCTGTTTTTTAGATTTCCAACTAGCTAGCGTGTTTGCTAACATTATAACAAATCCTGACATTGACTTCGTCTTTTGTACATCATCAGCCCCAATACTGTCTACAAAGCATTTCAATTCCAATTCACTTGATGTTTGTAAATGCAATCCTAAATCCATGGTTCACTTTAAATCTAGAAAGGAATTTCTGGAATGAAGGAGACATTTCTTGACAGTTAGAACAATTAATCAGTGGAACAACTTGCCTCCAGAAGTTGTAAATGCTCCAACACTGGAAGTTTTAAAGAAGAGATTGGATAACCATTCATCTGAAACGGTATAGGGTTTCCCGCCTAAGCAGGGGGTTGAACTAGAAGACCTCCAAGGTCCCTTTCAGCTCTGTTATTCTATTCTATTCTAAATAACAAGCATTCTTTTAATTCTTTTACTAACTATATATACCATGTCATCACTGAATACAATTCTGATAATGCTATGAATTGTGCTTCAGCTGTGGAAATCTGCTTTCTAGATTTCCCAACTATTTCGCTCCATAAGACACACTTTTTAGTCTCCCAAAAATGGGTGGAAATTTCTGTGCGTCTTATGGAGCGAATATTGCCGAAGCTCCACCCACACGCCGGCTCCCATACCGTTTTTGGCCTCTCTGTATCCCGTTTTCAGCCTCCGTGCATCCAGTTTTCAGTCTCTGCGCTCCGCATTTTCGGCCTCCATGCGGTCCGCTTTTGGCCTTCAAAAATTGGGCACGTGGAGACTAAAAATGGGGTACACGGAGGGCAAATCGGGGTGCACAGGCCGAAGACAGGATGCCCAGACGCTGAAAACAGGAGTGCATCTTATGGTCAGGTGTGTCTCATAGTGCGAAAAATGCGGTAGTTAATGTGTTTGCTAACATTATAACAAATCCTGACATTGACTTTGTCTCTTGTACATCATCAGCCCAAATACTGTCTACAAACCATTTCAATTCCAATTCACTTGATGGTTGTAAATGCAATCCTAAATCCATGGTTCCATTTCAATAACAAGTATTCTTTTAATTCCTAACCAATTTTGTTGTGTATGTTGTTATGTGTAGCAGGTTAAAATGTTGACTGAATTGGTAATATCTGGCCACAATATGTGATAAATACTACATAAACAGACCTCCTATGACTGCCTGATACAGTTCCGGATTACAAATTGTACTATTTTTGATGGTTTGAAATCTGGTATCATGGAGTTTGTACATTTCACAACTTTCCATATATTTTTAATAATTGTTCTATTTTTTTCTTTTGACTTAGAACATACCCAGCTAATCTTCACAAGCTAAGTACTATAGTGTCACATTTCACTATTTCACATGGATCATCTAACATCTAATAGTTGCAATGGTAGGTTTCTAGAAGTTGAAAACGACTTGATAGCATTTAATCAGTGAAAACATCTTGCAAAACGCCTTAGCAGAGACAAAGCAAGCTGTTCTTTTGCCTCCTATCGGGAGATGGTGGTCACATATCACTTGCTAGAAAGCCCTTATTAGGCATATGTAATTCATCTTAAAGGAGTTAAAACCATAGAGTACAGCAGTGCTAGAAAGGATTGGAAGAGACGAACTTCTTCCGGATCACTCATGGGAGGAAAGTGCCTTGCTAAGTGGCTTTTCTGCTCTTCCCAGGGTCGAAACACATCTGGAAGGTGAGTGGAGGGCAGATCGTAGGAGAAGCTGGGAGGAAGTAGGGCTGTGTTTGGTTTCCTCCATGATGTGGAAGCTGAGAAGCAACTAGGCTAAAGCATATTACCTGCTGCTACATGTTCTTTCACTCTCCAAATTTTGAGTCCACTGTGCTCCACGCTTTAACACTGGTGGCTGCAATTTTCTGCTGGTGAGAAAATTTAAAAAGTCTCCTTCAAGTTAAGATTAATTCCTTGGGAACAGCTTGCCTCCAGAAGTTCTGGGTGCTAGATCACTTAAGGTCTTAAAGAAGAGATTGGACATCAGTTAGTCCAGACTAACATAGGGTCTCCTGCCTGAGCAGGGAATTGGACTAGATAGAAGACCTCCAAGGTCCCTTCCAACTAGTGTTATTCTGTTACGGACTTGCTGTTTTCTTGGCAACAATATTGGACTGATTTTCATCTGCTTTCTTACTTCCAAGTCCACAAGCACAATATTTCCTATTGGTGCCCCATCCGTGTATTAAGCAGGTTCAATTGTGCTTAATCCCGTACTTCGGTGGTGGTGGTGGGGGAAGTAGCTATTGGGGACCTTTTGGGATATTTAATTGTATAGGTGGTCCTCACTTACCACTTATTCCCTGAGACTCCAAAGTTACAATGGCACTGTAAAAGCACACATTCATCTTGTACACATATTTGTGGTCATCGTAGCACATTCAATGACTGCACTTCAGAAGTTTCTGTGGGTATGAAGAGGCAGGAAAAGGAGTTGCATCAATTCTGGTGCTACCAACCGCTGCAGGTAGGTAAACACAACCTCAGATGAACAATAACGCTTGACATATCATGTCACCATTTATTCTACACACACACAAAAAAAAGCCGAAATAGAGAAGCCTTGTGTGAAAAAGTAACATCTTATGATTGAACAGCTTGTAGAGCCACCTTTGGCACCAATAACTGGAGGTAGAACCTGAGATGTAATGCTTGGATTTATTGTAATTTCTCTGAGCGTTGCACATTCTGAACTTGGGGTGAATTTGCTGGACCTTCCACTCCTGGGAAGATTGGCAATTGTCTTCAGTGTTTTCCACTTATGAACGTGGAGTGTAGAATTATGGAGTTTAACTGTTTTGAAATAGTCTTATAACCCTTCCCAGATAAAAATAACAGTTGAAGGGGACCTTGGAAGTTTTCTAGTCCAACCTAATGCTCAGGTAGGAAACCTATATAATTTCAGACAAATGGTTGTCCCATCTCTTCTTTAAAACTTCCAGTGTTGGAGCATTCACATACAGTGCATTCAGAAAATATTTGGGGGGCCTTCACTTTGTCTATTTTGTTATGCAGCAGCCTGATTCTACAGTTGTTGGAATTCATTTTTTTTTCTCATTAATCTACACTCAGTACTTCTGTTTTCATTTTGACATGATGGGGGTACTGAGTGTAGATTAATGAGAAAAAAAAATGAATTTTAACAACTGTAGAATCAGGCTGTTGCATAACAAAATTGACAAAAGTGAAGGGGGTCTGAATAGCAGGGGTGGGTTCTAATTTTTTTTACTACCAGTTCTGTGGGCGTGGCTTATTTTGTGGGTGTGGCTTGGAGGTCATGTGACTAGGTGGGCATGGCTAGCTGGTCAGAGTCATTTCTGAAAGGTCCTCACACTTACGATCAGTCCTCGCACTTACGACCCGACTCATTTGTTTGCTTTTAACACTGATCAGCTGTAGGATGGCCGTTTGAAGCCCTGCGGCAAGAGTTTAAACAGTTTTTTTCCCTCTAGTCATCAGCTGGGACTCAGGAGGCAGCAATAGATTGGGGGTGGGACCAAATAAAAGGTAAGAATAACGTGGGTGGGGGGGTTGGAGGGTGGGGGGGGAGAACCGGTTTGGTGACGTCATATCATCACCGCTACCGGCTCGGCTGAACTGGGAGGAACCCACCACTGCTGAATAGTTTCTGAATGCATTGTAGATAACAATAACAGAGTTGAAGGGGACCTTGGAAGTCTTCTAGTCCAACTCCTTGCTCAGGTAGGAAACCTATACCATTTCGGGGATATGGTTGTCCCATCTCTTCTTTAAAACTTCAAGTGTTGGAGCATTCACATACATTGTATTCAGAAAGTATTCTGCCTTCTACTTTCATTTTGTCATGTTGGGGTACTGAGTGTATATTAATGAGAAAAAAATTAATTTCAACAACTGTAGATGAGTGGCAACAATTGCTTCTCTAAGGTCCCTGTCAGTATCTTTACCCTTTGGCATTTAACACAACCTCAATGCTGGAGACCAGCAAACTCCTAGAACTTAGCCTCTTCATACCTATGGAAGAAAGAGGGTGTAGTTTGTTTTTCTCTTATCTGTATTTGATGATAACCCTTTGCAGGGCTAAGAATTTGTGACTGATACAAGTCAACAGGTGAGTTTCATGATTGAATGGATAATGGAACTTGGATCCCGGTAGTCAAATGAGTCATAATTAATGTAAGATTATTCTAACACTGTGACATGTTTGCTTTTTCATTGTAATGTATACTTCTTTTGTTCACATCTTCTGCAACCCTTTTACAAACAATAACTACATTTTCAATTGAATCTTACAGACAAAGATGATGCCTGGCTCCATAGATGTGCCTATTGTGAGAAAAGGAGACTTCAAATGACAAGCAATTATACAGGAGAGAATCCACTCTGGATAACAGCAATACTAATTATCTGAATGTGGTAAAAAAAAGCTCAGGTCAGAACTGCCCCTTTTTGGTTCATGGAAGGATCGACATAGGAGAGATGCCCTACAAGTGTTCCCAATGTGGCAAATGCTTTAGCAAAAATGGCAACTTAGTGATGCATCAGAGGACTCACACAAGGGAGAAACTGTATGACTGTCCTGATTGTGGAAAACGTTTCATTGGAAATTCACACCTGAGGAGTCACACAGGAGAGAAACCCCTTGAATGTCCTGATTGTGGGAAAAGTCTCAGTCAGTACTGCAGCCTGCTGATACATCAGAGAACTCACACAGAAGAGAAACCCTTTGAATGTCCTGTTTGTGGGAAAAGGTTCATTACAAATGCTCACCTAGTGATACATCAGAGGACTCACACAGGAGAGAAACCCTTCGAATGTCCTGATTGTGGAAAAAGTTTCAGTCACAATTCCAACCTGGTAAGACATCAGCGAACTCACACCGGAGAGAAACCCTTTCAATGTCCTGATTGTGGGAAAAGTTTCAGTCACAATTCCAACCTGGTAAGACATCAGCGAACTCACACAGGGGAAAAACCCTTTGAATGTTCTGATTGTGGGAAATGTTTTAGTCAGAATTCTGACCTAGTGAGCCATCAGAGGACTCACACAGGAGAGAAACCATTTGAATGTCCTGATTGTGGGAAAAGTTTCAGTCAGAATTCCCACCTGGTGATACACCAGAGGACTCACACAGGAGAGAAACCCTTTGAATGTTCTGATTGTGGGAAAAGATTCAGTCAGAATTCCAACCTGGTGATACACCAAGCAACACATAGAGGAGAGAAACTGTATGAATGTCCAGAGTGTGGGAAAAGTTTCAGTTACCGTTCTAACCTGATGAAACACCTGAGGACTCACACAGGGGAGAAACCATATGAGTGTCTAGAGTGTCAGAAAACATTCAGTTCCCATTCTAATCTGGGAAAACACCGGAGGACTCACACAGGAGAGAAACCATATGTGTGTCCAGAGTGTGGGAAAAGTTTCAGTTACCCTTCTGTTCTTGTGAAACACCAGAGGACCCACACCGGGGAGAAGCCCTACAAGTGCTCCCAATGTGGTAGATGTTTTAGTGAAAATGGCAACTTGTTGATACACCAGAGGACCCACACGGGAGAGAAGCCATATGAGTGTCCAGACTGTGGTAAAAGTTTCAGTTACCATTCTGACCTGGTGAAACACCAGAGGATTCACACAGGAGAGAAGCCGTATGAGTGTCCAGATTGTGGGAAAGATTTTAGTACTAGTTCTAACCTTATAAATCATGTAGTTTTACACACAGAGGAGAAACCTTTCATATGTCCAGTCTGTGGACGATACTTCAGGCGTAAATCATCTCTTATTGCACACAAGGAAATCCACATGAGACAAAAGTTGATGAGTTTAGAGAAGGCCTGAAATTAGTTTGTGATCTCACATTGAAAGTGTAGGTTATGAATGGATAGAGAAAAGAGATAGAAATTAGAGAAAGTAAAATTATGTATGAATGTTAATATTGAAAATAAAGAGACATATACAGTAGGGCAAAAAAGTATTTAGTCAGCCACCAATTGTGCAAGTTCTCCCACTTAACAAGATGAGAGAGGCCTGTAATTGACATCATAGGTAGACCTCAACTATGAGTGACAAAATGAGAAAACAAATCCAGACAATCACATTGTCTGATTTGGACAGAATTCATTTGCAAATTATGGTGGAAAATAAGTATTTGGTCAATATCAAAAGTTCCTCTCAATACTTTGTTATATATCCTTTGTTGGCAATGACAGAGGTCAAACATTTTCTGTAAGTCTTCACAAGTTTGGCACACACTGTTGCTGGTATGTTGGCCCATTCCTCCATGCAGATCTCCTCTAGAGCAGTGATGTTTTGGGGCTGTCGCTGGGCAACACGGACTTTTAACTCCCTCCAAAGATTCAGTCTTCCCAGCCTGGTGCAGGTCTACAATTTTGTTTCTGGTGTCCTTCAACAGCTCTTTGGTCTTCACCATAGTGGAGTTTGGAGTGTGACTGTTTGAGGTTGTGGACAGGTGGCTTTTATACTGATAACAAGTTCAAACAGGTTCCATTAATACAGGTAATGAGTGGAGGACAGAGGAGCCTCTTAAAGAATAAGTTACAGGTCTGTGAGAGCCAGAAATCTTGCTTGTTTGTAGGTGACCAAATACTTATTTTCCACCATAATTTGCAAATAAATTCTGTCCAAATCAGACAATGTGATTGTCTGAATTTGTTTTCTCATTTTGTCTCTCATAGTTGAGGTCTACCTATGATGACAATTACAGGCCTCTCTCATCTTTTTAAGTGGGAGAACTTGCACAATTGGTGGCTGACTAAATACTTTTTTGCCCCACTGTAACTATAAACATAAAGGTAAAGGTTCCCCTTGCACATATGTGCTAGCCGTTCTCGACTCTAGGGAGCGTTGCTCATCTCCGTTTCAAAGCTGAAGAGCCAGCACTGTCCGAAGATGTATCTGTGGTCATGTGGCCGGCATGACTAAATGCCAAAAGCGCACGGAACGCTGTTACCTTCCCACCAAGGGTGGTCCCTATTTTTCTACTTGCATTTTTTACTTGGTTTCGAATTGCCAGGTTGGCAGAAGCTGGGACAAGTAACGGGAGCTCACCCTGTTCCACGGCACTAGGGATTCAAACCGCTAAACTGCCGACCTTTCGATTGACAAGCTCAGTGTCTTAGCCACTGAGCCACCACGTCCCCCACTATAAACATAGTAATGGATAAAAATATAAATAAGCTAATGTAAAAAGAAACTTAGTTTAAACTTTTTGGTTATATTATTATTACTGCTATTATTACTATCAGTATTAGCTTGTGTGCTAATATTTACTACCAACTTTCTTTGGTTTTGTTTTATTTGTAAATGATAATCTAAGAATGCACTGTTATGTTTATGAATGAAAATGTATTAAAGAAAAGAAAAGAAAGTGTAGGTTAGACATTTACTATTTGAATTCTGCCTGATTCTTTTTACTCAAATGTATCTCAGGATTAGACCTGTAGATGGGGAGAAGAAAATGGAAAATGTTAGTTTGATAAAAGATAAATAATTGTTTCTGGTTATCAGCGGAAGTCCTCAAAAAGGCTTTTGGGTGGTGTTTTTTGTATATTGATAATGGAATTCCCACAGGCGGAGTTTCAGCCTTCTATCTTGATGTCCTCCATATTTTGAGTGCCAGAATTACCCCAGCCAGCATACAAGTAGTCCTTGAGATATAACTAATTAGTTTTGCATCTTGCAACGGCCCTTAAGCAAGACTGCTTTGCTGAAGTACCCCCAACCTTCTGTTTTCCCTCATGTGGCCTTTAAATAAATTTGTGAGTCGTTAAGCAGAAAAGGTTGGGGGCATAGCAGAGGCCCAGACTTGCCTTTCAAAGGCTTCCTCTACCTTAACCCCTTCCCTCCCTCATAGGGTCCCCACGGGCCTTTTCACTCCCACTGGGTCCCTGCAGTCCTTAGGCCTGACTTCCACCCCACTAGGCCTCACAACCTCTTCCTCCTCATCTTTTGACGATCTCTGAACCTCATAATAGAAGGCAGGGCGGAGGATTTCGGACAATACCTGTATGACAAAATCGCTCAGATCCGGGGGGATCTGGACTCTGACTGGGTAGATCAGGGCAGGGTGACAAGGAACAGTCTTGAGAATATTATCTGGGAGGAGTTTGATGCTGTGACTCCCGATGATGTGGACAGGATTTTGGGGAGACTTAGTGCAGCCACATGTTTACTGGACCCGTGTCCCTCCTGGTTGGTACTGGCTTCCCGGGAGGTTACACGAGGCTGGCTCCAGGGCGTCATTAATGCTTCGTTGAGTGAGGGTCACTTCCCCGCTGCCCTGAAAGAGGCGGTGGTGAGGCCTCTCCTCAAGAAGCCGTCCCTGGATCCAGCAATATTGGCTAACTATCGTCCTGTCTCCAACCTTCGCTTCATTGCGAAGGTTGTTGAGAGTGTGGTCGCGCAACAGTTTCCACAATTCCTGGAGGAAACATCCTATCTAGATCCGTTCCAGTCGGGTTTCAGGTCTGGGCACAGCACGGAAACGGCATTGGTCGCGTTGGTGGATGATCTCTGGAGGGCTCGGGACAGGGGTTATTCCTCTGTTCTGGTCCTATTAGATCTCTCAGCGGCTTTTGATACCATCAACCATGGTATCATGCTGTACCGGCTGGAAGAGTTGGGGGTGGGAGGCACTGTGTTGCGGTGGTTCTCCTCCTTTCTCTCCAACCGGTCGCAGTTTGTGTTGGCAGGGGGTCAGAGGTCGACCTCGAGGCCTCTCATTTGTGGAGTGCCGCAGGGATCAGTCCTCTCGCCCCTTCTGTTCAACATTTATGTGAAGCCGCTGGGCGAGATCATCCGTGGCTTTGGGGTGAGATACCACCAGTACGCTGATGACACCCAGCTGTACATCTCCACCCCAGGCCACCCCAACGATGCCCTTGAAGTGATGTCCCAGTGCCTGGAGGCTGTGCGGATCTGGATGGGGAGGAACAGGCTCAGGCTCAACCCTTCCAAGACTGAGTGGCTGTGGCTCCCGGCATCCCGATATAGCCAGTTGACTCCATCACTGACTATTGGGGGCGAGTCTTTGGCCCTCACTGAAGGGGCCCGCAATCTGGGAGTCCTCCTGGATAGGCAGCTGTCTTTGGAGGAACATCTGACGGCTGTTACCAGGGGGACCTTTTATCAGGTTCGCCTGATTCGCCAGTTGCGGCCCTTTCTTGATCGGGATTCCTTGTGCACAGTCACTCACGCCCTCGTCACCTCTCGCCTTGACTACTGCAACGCTCTACATGGGGCTCCTCTTGAAGAGCACCCGGAGGCTCCAGCTGGTCCAGAATGCAGCAGCGCGGGTAGTGATGGGAGCAACATGGCGCTCCCATGTAACACCGCTCCTGCGCGAGCTGCACTGGCTCCCGGTGGTCTTCCGGGTGCGCTTCAAGGTGTTGGTTATCACCTTTAAAGCGCTCCATGGCATAGGGCCTAGCTATCTCCGAGACCGCCTGCTGCTACCGATGACCTCCCATCGACCCGTGCGCTCCCACAGAGAGGGCCTCCTCAGGGTGCCATCAGCCAAACAATGTAGGCTGGTGGCCCCCAGGGGGAGGGCCTTCTCTGTGGGGGCTCCCACCCTCTGGAATCAATTGCCCCCGGAGATAAGAAGAATCCAGGACCTCAATGCCTTCCGTCGTTCCCTGAAAACCTATCTTTTTCAGCAAGCCGGGTTGGCTTAAGAAGAAATTTTTAAAATTTTTAAATTCTTTTAATTAGTCTGTGATTCTTAACTTTCGGGCCAAAATTTATATATATTTTTAAATGTTTTAATATTTGTATTCTATGTTTTTTATCTTGGCTGTACACCGCCCTGAGTCCTCAGGGAGAAGGGCGGTATATAAATTGGAAATTAAATTAAATTAAATTAAATAATAGGGAAAGAGGGCAGGACACGCATCCCTGGGCCTCATGTCTATGTCCTGAAAGCAGCTGTTATTTTCATTGTGCCCAGGATTGAACCCTGGGCCATGTGATGGACTTGTGGAAGTGGTTTCCATTTTTTGGTGGAAAATGGTTGCTTCTGGGTCCCTATCACACGGGAGAGGGAGAAACTGCTCTCTTTCGTACCTTAACACTGTGCAAACTGCATTAAGGGTTTGTGGGTGCACTGAAAATGGTGGTTGCTTTCCGGAGATCTCCAAAAGAGAAAAGTGTGCGATGGCTGAGGGACATGTTGGGAATAGACCCAAGGCCCAATGAAAACAACCATTTCACATGTACAAGCTGTTCTGCCTTGGAAATGAACCTGATGATGAAGAGCTGTAGGAATATTGAGCTGAGGAGAAAAGGGATTGAGAATCTCTATTAGCAACTCCTGCCAGGATCTCTTTTTCTCGGAAGTGCCTGCTCGTTACCCTTTGATGGCTGTTGGGGGATAGCAGCACCACATTGCTGACAAAAGGGTTGTTGTAACCCTATTTGGTGATGACACATAAAAAAATTGAATAGTGAAAAATCTTTCATTTTTAATAATGCATCAAAAAAAAAAAAAACTATCAGTAGCTTTTGACAAGGAAAAAATTGGGTAGTGTCAGTATTGCTATAAACATAGGGCCAGGCAAGACAGAGAGTTGCCACAAAGTGTGAGATGTGCAGTGAATAAATTTAATAATAAAATTGTAACATAAAGCCCTTTTCTCAATTATTGCTCCGTGTTGTGGTCTCCACACATACAGTGAGTTTCTCACGCACTACAATTTTTCAGCTACCTGTAATCTGTCTCTTGTGCAGTCTGCATCTCTATGACTAATCTGTCTTCCTCAGCTTCCTTTCCCTCCTCGTTATAAATTTAAAATTTGAATCAATCAGTTTATTACAGTCTTAGACCAGAGACCAGAACAAATAAAAACGCTCAGTAAATGTACAATTAAAAATTCTAGTATAAAATAAAAAATAACAACTACAATCTATAATAAAATCCAGTCTGTCAATTATATATGGTCTAACTATACTAAAGTTACAATCCATAAACTGTGTGGTCAAAATTTGAATTTGAATTGTATATCAATCCAGCCACTCTATCTCTCACGATGTGAGTCGCAGTTAGGCTTCTGCCTCTTAATTTATGGTTGCATTACTATCAGCCCCAGGCCTAAACTCTATGAAAATTTCTATGAACAACATTTCTTTATGCACAGTTAAACAATTAGAATGGCTAAACTATTTGTTTTGATGGGCATTCAGATTTCCTAATGGTGTGCCATCCATGGACTGACCTAGCACAACTGTGCTTATCCAAGGACTTCTTTTAAAGTAGCTACTGAGCACCAGTTGGGATGTTGAGATTTATAGACAGTCCTTGCTTACCTTTTTCCACTCAGCTTTCAAAGTTACAGTGGCCCTGAAAAAGAAGACTTACAACTTTTCCTCACAGTTGTGACCATCACAGTTATTTGAAGGTGGCACTGGCTTATTTTTATTTTATTTATTTTTTATTTATTCATTTCATTTTATTTTATTTTATTTATATACCGCCCTTCTCCCGAAGGACTCAGGGCGGTGAACAGCCATAATAAAACAGTGTACAAAATAGAATTTAAAAGCAGATTAAAATAATTAAATCATAGGCCGAATTTAAAACTCTCATTTAAAACCAATTTGCAAAATTGGCTTGCATTTATGACAGTTGCAGTGTCCCAGAATCATGGACTCATTATTTAGAACCTTCACAATTGGCTTCCAACAAACCAAATCAATTGGAAATTGACAGGAAGTTGCAAGTCACAGTAATGTTACATTGCTCTGAGCAGACCACGGTGATTTGCTTAATGACCGCAGCCAGGAAGGATGTTGTAAGTTGACATGGTTAAGTGATGTCATACTTAATGACCACACCATTTAGAAATGGACATGACGGTCTCAATGGCTTTCGGTAAGCAGAGATTGCCTGAATTGGGATGTCACCAGTGTGAGACCAGGACTAGTAACAGGGAGACTTATCAAAAAGAAATCAAACTTAGAATCAAGGAGAAATTTCCTTTCAGTGAGAATCAGTGGAAACTCTTTGCCTCTAGAAGTTGTGGGTGCTCCATCAATGGGGTTTTTAAAGAGGAGATTGGACAGCCATTTGTCTGCACCGGTACTATAGGATCTCCTGCTTGGAGAGTTGTCTTCCAACTCTATGTAATTCTGTAAGAGCTTCATAAACATTTAGGGCTCAGCACATTCCTAACCTTCACAAGCTATTTAGTGTCACATTTCACATGGATCAGTTGCAAAGGTGGGTTTCTAGGAGTCGAAAAGGACTTGATAGCATTTAATCAGTGAAAACATCTTGCAAAATGATGCAAAACATCTTGCAACATTTTGCAAGAAAACATCTTGCAAAACGCCTTAGCAAAGACAAAGCGAGCGTGTTCTTTTGCCTCCTATCGGGAAATGGTGGTCACAGATCAGTGATTAGAAAGCCCTTAATAGGTACATGTGGTTGAGCTTAAAGGAGTTAAAACCATCGAGAACAGCATTGCTAGAAAGGGAGGAGAGGAACTTCTTCCGGATCACTCATGGGAGGAAGGTGGTGTGCCGAGTCGCTTTTGTGCTCTTCTCAGGGTCGAAGCAGCACGTGGAAGGTGAGTGGAGGGCAGATGGTAGGAGAGGCTGGGAGCAAGTCGGGCTGTTTGGTTTCCTCCATGATGTGGAAGCAGAGAAGCAACTAGGCTGAAGCATGTCAGCTGCTGTTACATGTTCCTTCCCTCCCCAAATGCAAGCCCAGTAGTGCTGCACCCTGGGAAACTGGTGGCTGCAATTTTCTGCTGGTGGGAAGATTGAAAAAGTCTCCTTCAAGTTAAGGTTAATTCCTTGGGAACAGATTTGCCTCCAGAAGTTCTGGGTGCTAGATCGCTTAAGGTGGCGGTCGGCAACCTGCGGCCCTAGAGCCGCATGCGGCTCTTTGTCGGATGATCCCACCAGTGGGTGGCCCCGCCCCTCCCTCCTCGCCTGCCCTGAGAAGAGAAGGGCGACTGCGGCGGATGGAGACTCGCTCCGTATTCCAGAGCGGGAGCGAAGCGCCCCTCTACTTGCCTCTTTTTTCCGGCCCTTGCCGCTGGGGGAGACGCCTGACTTTGCTCTGCGCCGAGACACTGGCTGGGCCGCCCGGCTGCAACCGATGCTGCGCCTTGTAATGGGCTCCAGGAGGAGACGCCCCAGCCGGTGTCTTCCCCATATTCCTCTCGCCGCCTCCGTGGCTGCTTGCTGGTCTTGCATTTAAACTTTAGCGCGCTGCACAATGGGGGAGACGGCGTCCCGTCCTCCTCCTCCTCCTCGTGGAGCCCATTGCGACGCCGAGCATCGGCTGGGGCGGCCCAGCCGGTGTCTCTGGGCGGAGAAAGTCGTGCGTCTCCCAACAAGGGTCGGGAAAAAAAGAGGCAAGTAGAGGGGCGCTTCGCTTCTGCTCTGAAATACGGAGCGAGTCTCTATCTGCCCCCCCCGCGGCCCTTCTCTTCTCCGGGCAGGTGAGGGAGGTTGCAGCCACAGCAGGAGGACGAGAGAGCTTCGTTTATTTGGGAACCTGAAATGACTCTTGATTTAAAATGAAATCATATGGTTAAAAAGCACCCAAAGAATAAGAAGAAGAGCAGAAATAAATCGCCTGTTTTTGGAAATGGTTGAAGAGGGAACCAGCGCTCGAGCGCAGACACACACACACACACACACACACACACACATCAGGGCATCTATTAATTAATCCCATGTTTGGCTCTGGGACAAATCACCCTGGTTAATTAGAGGAGATGGATCGTGGCTCCTCCTTGTTTGCAATATTCTGAAAAAGAATAAAAAGAAAAAGAAACTTGAAGAAAAGTTCCAATAAAACTCATTTATTTGTTATAAAGAAAATAAAATACCTCACTAACTAAGAAAAGTAATTGCCACATTTTGGAAGTAATTCGGGCCAGTTGCTTTCCGTGGCATCCGTGGCAAGAGAACAAAGGAAGGAGTGTGTGAAGGAATGTGGGTGGATAGACATGCGTAATAGCTTTTGATAACAATTCTTGGCAAGGTACGGAAAGTCTGATAGTCCAGAAATGATGAGCTCAGCTGGGAAATAAAAAAACGCAGTGACACGAGAGAGAGAGAGAGAGAGGGGGGGGGAAGAAAGAGAGATGAGAGATGAGAAAGAGGGAGGGAGGGCGATGAAAAAGAGGGAGAAAGATGAGGGTCATTGTAGCATGTTCAGTGACCGTACTTCAGAAGTACCTGTGGGTATAAAGATGCAGGAAAAGGAGTTGCACCAATTGAGGTATTACCAACCGCTTCATATTGATGATGGTTGCAGCATCCCACATTCATGAAGCCCATTAGTGACCTTCCCAGCTATCCTTTGACAAGCAAAATCAATGGGTATACTGGTAGGAAGTTGCAATTGCCTTTAAAAATCCACAGTGATTTCTTTAATGAGCAAAAGTGGTCCTTCAAATCTTATAGAGGCTTTAGGCATCATTTCATCAGTTAAAGCCCCCAGATCTCTAAAATTAACTCAGAAATGTTAGACTGTAACCATTTTAGGACATTTTTCAGGTTGAAAACACGTGGATTTTCCACATATATACATTTGTTGGTCTGTGTATTTGTACTTCTCTCTGTATGCATATATCTGCAATTGGATATACCATATTTTTTGGAGTATAAGACGCACCTTTTTCTCCCCTAAAAGGGGGTGAAAATTTAGGTGCAACTTACATACCGAATGTAGCCCCGCCCACCCACTGGCCCCCACCCTTTGGCCTCTGCCTCCCAGCAGTTACCTCCTTGCAAGCAAACAGCAAGAAAAAACACTCCTTTAAGCTTCAGCACAACCTGATTAGCAGCAGTTGATTAGATCGGCATCCCGACCCTCAGCTGATTTTCTCTCAACTGTTTTGGGCAGGGCTCTGTTGCTTGCTGCAAAGAGGTAAATTGCTGGAGCAGATTTTTTTTTCCTTGTGCTAATCAAGCTATGCTGAAAACGAAAATGAAATTAAAGCAGGCTGTTTGCTCTTTGCTGCAACAAGGCAAAATTGCTCAGAAGCAGAGGGAGATTTCTTTTTCTTCTTTTCCTCACCAAAAAAGGTAGGTGCGTCTTATACTCTGGTGTGTCTTATACTCCAAAAAATACAGTACTTCCAGATATGCAGCCATGTGAAAAAGAAAGTACACCCTCTTTGAATTGTATGGTTTTACATATCAGAATACAGTAAAAATCATCTGGTCCGTAGCAATTATTAAAGGTAGGTAAACACAACCTCAGATGAACAATTGTTGTTGTTAGTTGCGAAGTCGTGTCCAACCCATCGTGACCCCATGGACAACGTTCCTCCAGACCTTCCTGTCCTCTACCATCCTTTGGAGTCCATTTAAGCTCAGGCCTACTGCTTCAGTGACTCCATCCAGCCACCTCATTCTCTGTCATTGTTGTCGTCTTCTTTTGCTCGCAATCTTTCCCAGCATTAGGCTCTTCTCCAGTGATTCCTTCCTTCTCATTAGCTGGCCAAAGTATTTGAGTTTAATCTTCAGGATCTGGCCTCCTAAAGAGCAGTCAGAGTTGATCTCTAAGACTGACCGGTTTGTTCGCCTTGCAGTCCAAGGGACTCACAGGAGTCTTCTCCAGCACCATAGTTCAAGGGCCTCAATTCTTTGGCGCTCAGCCTTTCTTATGGTCCAACTTTCACATCCATACATTGCAACTGGGAAAACCATAGCCTTAACTAGACGCACTTTTGTTGGCAGGGTGATGTCTCTGCTTTTTAGTATGCCGTCTAGATTTGCCATAGCTTTCCTCCCCAGGAGTAAGCGTCTTTTAATTTCTTGGCTGCAGTCCCCATCTGCAGTGATCTTGGAGCCCAGGAAATTAAAATCTGTCACTACCTCCATTTCTTCCCCATCTGTTTGCCAGGAATTGAGAGGGTCGGATGCCATGATCTTGGTTTTCTTAATGTTGAGTTTCAAGCCAACTTTTGCATTCTGCTTCACCCGCATCAAGAGGCTTTTTCTGCATATCTTCCTTAAAACTTCCAGTGTTGGAGCATTCACATACGGTGCATTCAGAAAGTATTCGGCCTTCTGTTTTCATTTTGTCATGTTGGGGTACTGAGAGTATATTAATCAGAAAATATGAATTTAAACAACTGTAGAATCAGGCTGCTGCATAACAAAATTGACAAAATGAAGGGCCCCTGAATACTTTCTGAATGCATTGTAGATGAGCAGCAACAATTGCTTCTTTAAGGTCCCCGCTGACATCTTTACTCTTTGGCATTTAACACAACCTCAATGCCAGAGACTAGCAAACTCCTAGAACTTCGGTTTTTATAGAGCACTTGATTAGCAGCTATGGGCTGCTACTTAGCCTCTTCATACCTATGGGAAAAAAAGGGTGTAATTTGTTTTTCTCATAACTGTATTTGATGATAATCTTTTGCAGGCTAAGAATTTGTGACTGACTCAAGTCAACAGGTGACTTTCATGATTGAATGGATAATGGAACTTGGATTCCGGTAGTCAAATGAGTCATAATTAATGTAAGAGGTAATTCTAACATTGTGGCATGTATGCCTTTTCATTGTAACATATGCTTCTTTTATTCACATCTTCTGCAACCCTTTTACAAACAGTAAAAGCTATATTTTCAATTGAATCTTACAGACAAAGATGATGCCCAGCTCCATAGATGTGCCTATTGTGAGAAAAGGAGACTTCAAATGACAAGTGATTATGCAGGGGAGAATCTACCCTGGAAAACAGCAATATTAATTATCTGAATGAGGTAAAAGCTCAGGTCAGAACTGCCCCTTTTTGGTTCATGGAAGGACCCAAACAGGAGAGATGCCCTACATATGCTCCCAATGTGGTAAATGCTTTAGCAAAAACGGCAACTTAGTGATACATCAGAGGACTCACACAGGAGAGAAGCCGTATGACTGTCCTGATTGTGGGAAACGTTTCATTGGAAATTCCGACCTTGTGAGACACCAGAGGACTCACACAGGAGAGAAACCCTTTGAATGTTCTGATTGTGGGAAAAGTTTCAGTCTCAATTCCAACCTGATAAGACATCAGAGAACTCACACAGGAGAGAAACCCTTTGAATGTCCTGATTGTGGGAAAACTTTCAGTCAAAATTCCAACCTTACGAATCATCAGAGGACTCACACCAGTGAGAAGCCATACGACTGTCCTGATTGTGGGAAATGTTTCACTGGAAATTCCCAACTCGTGAGACACCTGAAGACTCACACAGGAGAGAAACCCTTTGAATGTTCTGAATGTGGGAAAAGTTTCAGTCACAATTCCAACCTAGTAATACATCAGAGAACTCACACAGGAGAGAAACCCTTTGAATGTGCTGATTGTGGGAAATGTTTTAGTCAGAATTTTGACCTGGTGATACACCAGAGGATTCACACAGGAGAGAAACCCTTTGAATGTGCTGATTGTGGAAAAAGTTTCAGTCAGAATTCCCACCTGGTAAGACACCAGAAGACTCACACAGGAGAGAAACCCTTCCAATGTTCTGATTGTGGGAAAAGTTTCAGTGAGAATTCCCACCTGGTAAGACACCAGAGGACTCACACAGGAGAGAAACCCTTTGAATGTGCTGATTGTGGGAAAAGTTTCAGTGAGAATTCCCACCTGGTGATACACCAGAGGACTCACACAGGAGAGAAACCATTTGAATGTGCTGATTGTGGGAAAAGTTTCAGTCAGAATTCCCGCCTGGTGAGACACCAGAGGACTCACACAGGAGAGAAACCCTTTGAATGTTCTGATTGTGGGAAATGTTTTAGTCAGAATTCTGACCTGGTGAGCCATCAGAGGACTCACACAGGAGAGAAACTATATGAATGTCCAGAGTGTGAGAAAACGTTCAGTTCCCATTCTGACTTGTTGAAACATCAGAGGACTCACAGAGGAGAGAAGCCGTATGAGTGTCCAGATTGTGGGAAAGTTTTTAGCAGTAGTTCTAACCTTATGAATCATGTAGTTTTACACACAGGGGAGAAACCTTTCATATGCCCAGTCTGTGGACGATACTTCAGGTGTCAAAAATCTTTTATTGCACACAAGGAAATCCACATGAGGCAAAAGTTGATGAGTTTAGAGAAGGCCTGAATTAGTTTGTGATCTCCCATTGAAAGTGTAGGTTAGAAATTTACTAGTTGAATTCTGCCTGATTTTTTTTTTTACTCAAATGTGTCTCAGGATTAGGCCTGTAGATGGGGAGAAGAAATGGAAAATGTTAGTTTTTCAACGGCCCTTAAAACAAGTACCCCCAATCTTCTGTTCTCTCTTATTTGGCCGTTCAATACATTTGTGAGTCGTTAAGCAGAACAGTGGTTATCTCAGGATTGCAGACATAGCACAGGCCCAGGCTTGCCTTCCAAAGGCCTCCTCTACCCAAACTTTCCCTCCCCTACAGGCATTTTCACTCCCACTGGGTCCCTGCAATCCCACTCCACTAGGCCTCACACACAATTGAATAGTGGAAAATGTTTCGTTTTTAACAATGCATTTTGTTAGAACTATCAGTAGGTTTTGACAAAGAAAAAATTGGGTAGCGTCAGTGTTGCTATAAACGCTATGGCCAGGCAAGATAGACAGAGTTGCCTCAAAATACGAGATGTGCAGTGAATATGTTTAATAATTATATTAATAATAAAATTGTAACCTAAAGCCCTTTTCTCAATTATTGCTCCGTGTTGAGGTCTCCACACAGTGATTTTCTAACATACTACAATTTTTCAGCTACCTGAATCTGTCTCTTGTGCATTCTGCATCTATGACTAATCTGTATTCCTCAGCTTCCTTTCCCTCGTTATAAATTTAAAATTTGAATCAATCAATCAATCAGTTTATTACAGTCTTAGACCAGAGACCAGAACAAATAAAAACGCTCAGTAAATGTACAATTGAAAATTCTAGTATAAAATAAAAAATAACAACTACAATCTATAATAAAATTCAGTCTGTCAATTATACATGGTCTAACTATACTAAAGTTACAATCCATAAACTCTGTGGTCAAAATTTGAATTTGAATTGTTTATCAATCCAGCCACTCTATCTCTCTCATGATGTGAGTTGCAGTTAGGCTTCTGCCTCTTAATTTATGGTTGCATTACTATCAGCCCCTAGTCCTAAATTCTATGAAAGTACCAAATTTCTTTATGCACACTTAAACAATTAGAATTGCTAAACTATTTGTTTTGATAGGCATTCAGATTTCCTAGTGGTGAGCCATCCATGTACTAAATGGCACAACTGTGCTTATCCCAGGACTTCTTTTAAAGTAGCTACTGAGCACCAGTTGGGATGTTCAGATTTATAGACAGTCCTTGTCACCTTTGACCACTCAGCATTCAAAGTTACAGTGGTGCTGAAAAAGAAGACTTACAACTTTTCCTCACAGTTGTGACCTTCACAGTTATTTGGAGGGGCACTGGCTTGCATTTATGACAATTGTGGTGTTCCACAGTCATGGAGTCGCCATTTAGAACCTTCACAATTGGCTTCCAACAAACCAAATCAATTGGAAATTGACAGGAAGTTGCAAGTCACAGTCATGTTACATTGCTCTGAGCAGACCATGGTGATTTGCTTAATGACCGCAGCCAGGAACGATATTGTAAATTGACATGGTTAAGTGATGTCATACTTAATGATCACACCATTTAGGAATGGACATGCCGGTCCCAATGGCTTTCGGTAAGCAAAGATTGCCTGAATTGGGATGTCCCCAGTGTGGTTGTGGACGGTATTTCTGGCCTTTTTCTTATTTGGAATGGTGGACTTCCATGGCCAATAATGGTCCTTTAAATCTTGCTGAGACTTAGGATCATTTTATCAATTAAGCCTCACCTGTCCCTCTAAAATTAGATCAAAAAGTGTGACTGCACCCACATATATGTGTATATGTATAATCCGTCCCCAGCACTTCCCGCTATATTTGATAACCCTTGCTATGAATTTGTGATTGACATAAGTCAACAAATAAATTTCATGATTGAATGAATATTTGAACTTGGATTTCACTAGACCTGTATGTTGAAAATGAATGATAATTAATGTAAGAAGAATGCCAAAGAGCACCGTGGTGTATACTGAGGATCAGTAAAGTCAGGGTTCCAAGTAATGGACCCATAGAAAGCAAAACTCCAAGACAGGTAGATTCCTCAAAGAATAGCTTTATTGGATATATCATTGGCACAGATCTGGTGAAAACCGACTCTGAAGGTTCCGGCAGTTTTCACCTAATTAAAAGTAAAAGTTTGTCACTTTCTCAAAACAATCAGTCACATGGTGCAATCACGACGTTGTGTGGTTGCCTGGTGACATCACTCCGCCTTCCTCTGACCAGGTGTGAGAATGTCCTTGGTTCCCAAGAGAAAGTATTTTGTTTTGGCTACAAAATCCCAGCTATCTCAAATCCTATCCTATCCTATCCCCCAGCTCCAGTGTAGCAACACTGAAGCTATCAAGATGGCTTCGGTCAGGAGTCAGGACAGTTGCAGGGTTGACAGCAGCATTAAAATGGGAAGCAAACCAAGGCACAATTAAAATCTTACGGTTCCTCCAGAAAAACTACAAAGCTCGTCTTCCCCAGCAGGTGACAGACAAGGAAGAGAAAACTCTTGCTAAGAAAGAAAGTTATTAAGTGAGCTTTACCCATTTTATGTTTCTTGCCACAATTATTAAGTGAATCATTGCAGTTAACTTAGTAACACATTTGTAAAGTGAATCTGGCTTTCTCATTGACTTTGCTGATTAGAAGGTGGCAAAACAGGCGTGAAACAGACCATTTCCATCAGCTCTTCTCTTTTTTTTCCCCTTAGTGTCCTTTTGCCAGCATGCGCTAGGCAGGCAGTAGCGATCTTTATATGGGCTTTTATTTTGTCAGCCCGGGGTGCGGGGGGAGGCTCGGAATGGTATGTTAGAAATCACCCTGTCCCTGCAGCATCAGCCCGTCAAGCCTAGCAAACAAGGTGCCAGCTGTAACCACAAGCAGAGAACAAAAGGGGCAATGGAGCTTATGCTAAGTAGAAGTTGGTTAAAACTGAAGCTTTAAACAGGAAAAGCGGAGGGGGGGATATAGATTGAGCGCTTTGATAGGATGCTGTGCTGAAAAACAAACAGCAAATGGGGGTTTGGGGGAGAGGGATAAGCTGCATGTTTTAAACAGGAAAAGGGGAGGAGGGGAAATGAGTCTGTGTAGGGGGATAAAAGGACTGACCTATGCCTTGTCACATGTTCACCTTTGTTGCACCCGTATTTGCAAATACATTAATAAAATCCTTTGCTACTTTCAAGTTATTGTCTCGGGTAGTTCCATATGCAAACATGCACTGTTTAACACAACATCTATAGAAGAGGTTGTACTTGGCTCAACGGCAGTAACTGCGAGAGGGATCTAGGAGTTCCAGTGAACAATCACCTCAAGTATGAGCTAGCAGTGTGCTCCAGTTGCAGAAAAAGCCAATACAGTCCTAGTCTGCATCAACAGAGGGATACTATCAAGATCCCATGAAGTGTCAGTACTGCATTCTACCGTACTAGTAAGGCTACACTTGGAATATTGCGTCCAGAGGAGAAGCACAGAGGAACTTCCTCTACTGGATCACTCATGGGAGGAAGGTGGCTTTTGTGCTCTTCCAAGGATTGAAACAGCAGCTGGCTGGTGAGTTGAGGGCAAGTGGGAAGAGAGTCCAGAAGCAAGTCTGGGTGTTTGGTTTCACCACGGCGTAAGAATCAGAGGGTATAGCATAAAATATAGAGTAACAGACTCAAAGGTGCTTTTTTTTCAAGAAGCAACTGGACTTTCTGGTTTTTCTTTGAAGAAGTGTTGCTTGTCATCCAGGAAGCTAAACGTCTTCATAGAAACACCAGAAAGTCCAGTTGTTACTAGTACCACTCTATAAAGCCCTATTAAGACCACACCTAGAGTATTGCATCCAGTTTTGGTCACCACACTAAAAAAGATGTTGAGACTCCGGAAAAAGTACAGAGGAAAACAACCAGGATGATTAGGAGACTGGAGACTAAAACATATGAAGAACGGTTACAGGAACTGGGCATGGCTAGTCTAGTGTAGAGAAAGATCAAGGGAGACATGATAGCAGTGTTCCAATATTTGAGGGGCTGCCACCGAAAGGAGGGGGTCAAGCTATTTTCCAAAGCACCTGAAGGCCAGACAAGGAATAATGGATAGAAATTGACCAAGGAGAGATTCAACCTAGAAATAGGAACTTTCTGACAGCGAGAACAATCAACCAATGGAACAGCTTGCCTTCGGAAGTTGTGGGAGCTTCATCGCTTGAGACTTTCAAGAAGAGATTGGACTGCCATTTGTCAGATATGGTATAGGGTCTCCTACTTGGAGAGTTGGTGTCTTCCAACTGTATATAATTCTGTAAGAACTTCATAAACATTTAGGGCTCAGAACATACCTAAGGGTCACAAGGTATTTAGTGCCACATTTCACATGGTTCAGTTGCAAAGGTAGGTTTCTAGGAATTGAAAACGACTTGATAGCATTTAATCAGTGAAAACATCTTGCAAAACGCCTTAGCAAAGACAAAGCGAGCGTGTTCTTTTGCGTGCTATCGGGAGATTGGCAGTCACAGATCAGTGATTAGAAAGCCCTTAATAGGCATATGTGGTTGAGCTTAAAGGAGTTAAAACCATAGAGTACAGCAGTGCTAGAAAGGATGGGAGGAGAGGAACTTCTTCCGGATCACTCATGGGAGAAAGGTGGTGTGTCGAGGGGTTTTTCTGCTTTTCTCAGGGTCGAAGCAGCATTTGGAAGGTGAGTGGAGGGCAGATCGTAGGAGAAGCTGGGAGCAAGTAGGGCTGTTTGCTTTCTTCCCTGATGTGGAAGCAGAGAAGCAACTAGGCTGAAGCATATCTGCTGCTGCTACATGTTCCTTCCCTCCCCAAATTTTGAATCCACTGGTGCTGCATGCTGTGAAACTGGTGACGGCAATTTCCTGCTGGTGAGAAGATTTAAAAAGTCTCCTTCAAGTTAAGATTAATTCCTTGGGAACAGCTTGCCTCCAGAAGTTCTGGGTGCTAGATCACTTAAAGTCTTAAAGAAGAGATTGGACATCAATTAGTCCAGACTAACATAGGGTCTCCTGCCTGAGCAGGGAATTGGACTAGATAGAAGACCCCCAAGGTCCCTTCCAACTCTGTTATTCTGTTATCGACTTGCTGTTTTCTTGGCAACAATATCTGCATCTGCTTTCTTACTTCCAAGTCCACAAGCACAATATTTCCTATTGGTGCCCCATCCGTGTATTAAGCAGGTTCAACTGTGCTTAATCCCGTACTTTGTTAAAAAAAAAAAAGCTATTGGGGACCTATTGGGATGTTTAGTTGTATAGGTGGTCCTCACTTACCACTTATTCCTTGAGCTTTCGAAGTTACAATGGCGCTGTAAAAGCATACATTCATCTTGTATACCCAAATTTGTGGTCATGGTAGCACATTCGGTAACCCACACTTCAGAAGTTCCTGTGGGTATGAAGAGGCAGGAAAAGGAGTTGCACCAATTCTGGTGTTACCAACCGCTGCACATTGATGATGGTTGCAGCATCCCAAACTCATGATCCCCATTAGTGGCCTTCTCAGCTATCCTCTGCCAAGCAAAATCAATGGGTATACTGGTAGGAAGTTGC